AAAACCCAGTAATACTTTGCCCTTACCCGGTAGTCGCACTTGCGAGCACTCGGCCAATGAAGCAGTTTTATTTAAGTATTGTTTAAAAAATACGTGTCTAACATTTTTTCCATTACGTAGCTGATGGACTAAATACATTTTTAATTTGATTACCCCGCATCATCCCTATTTTAGACATTTATTATATCTATAGTGTAGAAATATATTCCAAAGTTAATTTAAGTAACCTGTGATTCGACCCTGCGCTGCGATTCGATTAAGACATCCTGCTGAATCATCTTAATTGAAATAGCAACGAGACACTTAAGATAGTTGTTAAGAACCAAATGCACTTCCAAATGTGATAAGATTTATTTAGGTCGAGAAAATAGTCATATAAAATTGTCACATAATACGTTTACTAGTTCTAAAGCAACATTTATTGCGGACATATATACTATAACGCAGAGTTGTCCAAACTATGGGTCGCTACCTATTGTTGGGTGGCCAGCGAATTTTTGCTAGGCCTTGTCTGTAGGATGACGCACTAACCAATTTTATTTTATATATTGGTAACGCTTGAATTCCCTGAAGGCGTGTCCTGCGTTTGGACCTAACTAGATTTAGATAAGTCGTAGTCTAGACAACTTTAGGAACCACTGCTATAACGCATTTGTTATTGTTTTCGACTTGAAACTTCTAGGCCTCACTTATTTTCTACTTATGCTTAGAACGTCTCAACAAATCTTGGCTGTTCTCATGCCAAGATAATAACATTTTTTGAATACGAAATTCAATGTTTTGCAATAGCATTCCGCTCGAGTCTCGTGTATTGTTATAGCCTCACCTCTTACGAAACTCGACTAAATGTTAAAGTTACGATACAATTCATGTATGTCAGTCATTCACTGAAAAAAATATGCATTTGTGCGCTTATTAGATTTATAAAATACTAACAATCTGCCCCGGCCTTGCAGGGGTGAAATATACATAAACCTTCCTTAAGAATCACTCTCATCTATTAAAGAAAACCGCATCAAAATCCGTCGCGTAGTTTTAAAGATCTAAGCATACATAGGACATAGACAGACAGACGACGGATAGCGACTTTGTTTTATACTATGTAATGATGATAAAATAATTCTTTCGTAAACTACGTTTTAATAAACCGACTTCAACCCTCTTTTTTTTTGAAGTTCGGGTAATTAATATAGGTACTAAAACTTCTCCTCATTGAAACAAACACTTTTTGAAAACCGTATCAAAATCGATTCCAGTCTAAACTACCTTTATTTCAGTCTGTTAAAAAAATACTTTTATTTCAGTCTCCTAAAATCCGGCAAGATAGAAATAGTGACTGGAGGATGGGTTATGAACGATGAGGCTAGCTCCCACTGGCTAGCTATCATAAAACAGCTGACTACGGGACATCAATGGCTAATAGACAATCTAGGCTATATACCGAAGAACGCATGGTCCATCGACCCATTCGGATACTCTAGTTCGCAGCCCTATTTACTAAAACTAGCGGGAATGGAGAACTCAGTAATACAGAGGGTGCATTATAGAGTCAAGAAGGAATTAGCGTCTAATAAACAGTTGGAGTTCCATTGGAGACAACTTTGGGGTAAGTTGGTTTAATTTACTGATGGTTTAGCTTTCTATAACAGGGCTAGGCAGAGGTGCACATTACGGCACTTAATACCACTGTACAATGTAACACCCACTTTTCACTATTTATGTTATGAGTGCCATGTAATAGGGGATGAGCCTATTGCCATATACCGGGTAAAATTATTATTTCAGACTCCGTGCTACTACTGACATTTTTGTTAATAAACCCTGTAATACTTTGCCCGGCCGTCGCACTTGCGACCACTCGGCCAACGAGGCAGTTTAGCTTTCCAATGTTAATGTAATTGCGACCAATCTTAAACTAGCTATTTTAGGAACTATATGTTCTTTCATGCATGATCAAACGCTAATAGATCAGGGGTCGAGTTAGTGTTGTTAACTTATAGTACAATTCAGGAATTGGCCAACGGACTGCACTGGACTGGACTGCACGGCTTGTGCAGCCGCCTGCCGCGCAACGTTTATCTGGTTCGATTCGCACGCGGAGCAAATCATTGTGCGATCTACAAATTGTTGTTTCGGGTCTGGGTGTCATGTGTATGTGAACTTGTATGTTTGTAAAGGCACCCACGATACAGGAGAACATCCTAGTGTGGGTCAACGTTATCAAAATAGACAGAGAAAAACGAGACAAACAGATCAAAGATTACTGTGGAATTAGATGCATCTATGCAGTTAATGTAATTTCTTCTTTATTATATTTCAGACGGTATTGGCAAGACGGACATGTTCACACACATGATGCCTTTCTATTCTTACGACGTGCCTCACTCGTGTGGACCTGATCCGGCGGTATGTAACATGTATAGCTTGAGTTTCGTATCATAGTTGACTTGTGTAATTAATCAATATCAATCTACGCCGAACGCCGAAAATCAACTAAATAAACGTCACTAGTTTAAATATGTATTATCGACAGCACTAGCTGTCATGTTTACGATGTCATCTGTCAAATGTGACAGATTAGAAAAGTTTCCCGCGCAAAGAGTTGTAACGTGAGATTTTGGTGGGAGTTTTGACGAGCATCACGCTGTGTTCGTATAAGAATCCGTTTAGAATAAACTTGTCAGTATTGAAGTATTGAGTTATACTTAAAACTACAATAAGTAATCTAACATAACATCACGCCTTTTATACCTGAAGGGGTAGACAGGTGCATGATTATGGAACTTAATGCCACTGTAAGTACAATGTAACACCCACTTTTCACTATTTATGTTATGAGTCCCATGTAATAGGGGGTGAGCCTATTGCCATATACCGGGCACATTTCCATTAAAAAATAAAATCAATAATACTTTACCCGAGACCCCTTGCCGGGCAGTCACACTTGGGACGACTCGGCCAAAGAGGCGGAATTAACGTTTATTTAATGTAATATTTCCAGGTATGCTGTCAGTTTGACTTCAAGCGGCTTCCTGGCAATGGAATCACTTGTCCCTGGGGGAAGGCGCCGCGGAAGATCACTGAGAAGAACGTAGAAGAGAGGTAAATAATTATATACACGGTAGGAATAGTAGTAACACACATTATAATATAACTCTCACTTGTCGCCACTTACGAGACCAGCGTAATGAGCGGTTAGCCTACACTGGACATAATTGCTGATTCCGTGCTATCATCATCATCATCATCATCAACAGCCTAGATATGCCCACTGCTGAGCAAAGCCTCTTCTCACACGAAGAAGGTTTGAGCATTAATCACCACGCTTGCTCAATGCGGGTTGGGGATCACAAACTTATAATTAGAAATTATAAGCCCAGGTTTCCTCACGATATTTTCCTTCACCGTTTGTCAGCGGTGTCTGGATAATCTTAGAAAGTACATATAACTCGGAAAAAGTCACAATGGTATTTGCCGTTGGTAGGTTTCGAACCCTCATGTATGAGAGGTGGGCATCTTAAACCTCCGGGCCACCACGACTAAAAGTTTATTCCGTGCTATAAGTAGAAATATTCAGAAATCCAAACAAGATCAATAATACTTTGTTAAATCTAAGCCCCCTCGTTCAGTAGCCACGGTTGAAATCATTTGATCAACGAGGCAATTGTCTAAAATAGTAGAAATATGGCCTCCGTTATTAAACTGTCAAACAGCAAGCGGTCACCGGTGACCGCAACCTATTGTTCTAGAATTGTGTCTATAATTACGGTACTTGACGAGTTAAGCCGCTTAAGTACGTGAGAGACAAATAAAAAATGCTAATCCTATAACCATACACGTTGGTGTAGGAAATATTGAAATCAAAATAATTATTAAGTATATAAACTACATTTAAAAGAACCGACTTTAGCTCCTCTCTTCAATTAATATTCTAAAACCTTCCTCCAATCTAAAAACTTTTCTGAAAACTGCATATAAATCGGTAAAGCCAATCGCGAGTTAATCCCGCACAAACATACATAACGGTCAAATTGAGAAACTCCTTTTTTTGAAATCGGAACGCTTTATCCTTCTAAGTTCAAATAAATATTTTTTATTACCTTAAATAAAAAAAGGAAATATTCCAGAGCACACACAATCCTCGACCAATGGCGTAAGAAAGCTCAGTTGTACCGCACCAACGTGTTGATGTTCCCGCTCGGTGACGACTTCAGATACGACCGTGCCAACGAATGGGACAACCAGTACCAGAACTATGAGATACTCATCGATTTCATTAATAATAACGATGCTTGGAACGCTGAGGTGAGCATTTTTTCTGATTTGAATAGGTATAGGTACTTGTTAATTTTAATAAGGATAAACAGTATTAAGTTTAGAAATGTAGTTTTATTCAGACCAATACATAAAACAAAATCTCTCGAAGACACGTAACCGGAATCATAGACAATAATATAAAGGTCTATCTATGAACTAAGGTTCTATCATATACATACTATATAGTCAATAAACTAGGGTTCAATTTTCTAATTTCTACAGTACTATAGGTGTCTATTATCACGCTATTATTATTTTGTCCAGCATCAAAGGAGTTTATATGACGGTTATTCGAGTACTTACTCCGATTTGAAATTTGGATCGTTCGCATTCGAACAATGACACGATCCAATACGCCTCTAAAGATGATATTATTTGAAAACAAAACTGATATAAAAGGTTTACTCAGTTCTTGATATCATAACACACACATAACATCACGCCTTTTATCCCCGAAGGGGTAGGCAGAGATGCACACAGAAGTAACACCCAATTTTCACTATTTATGTTATGAGTCCCATGTAATAGGGAGTGAGCCTATTGCCATATATCGGGCACATTTCCAAACTCCGTCCGAGAGTTCTTGATATCATAATACTAATAGGGTAGATGCCTATTTTTATTTTAATGTCCGTTTGGTAGATTATTTTAAATCATTAGACACGTACCTTTTATTTTCCTACAGAAACGAATACTTTCGACTATTATTCATTTGAAATGTCACGTGACGTCACTTTTATGTACATTTTATACGTAGAAATGACGTTTTAGCCCCCACTCCTAAACTTTGATTCGTTTTATCTAAGTATTGTTTTATTATACGACAAAATAAAAATATATTAATATTTTTTTCAATATCTACCTTACGGACTAATTAGATTTTTAAATTTTCATACCCTGTCATCATCCCAATTCTATCATCATTTGATTAAATGTGACTTTAATCTCATTTCTATGTTTTAAATGGCGCTACTGTAGCTTTTGGCCTATAACACTAGCAAACTAATAACACTTAATCGTATTAACAGGTGCAATTCGGAACTCTCGAAGATTATTTCAAAGCGGTTCACGCCGAGGTGAAGGCTAACGACTTCCCTGTGCTTTCGGGAGATTTCTTCACGTATGCGGATAGGAACCAACATTACTGGAGTGGATACTACACATCTAGGCCTTTCTATAAGAACATGGACCGAGTTTTGCTGGCTTATGTCAGGTAAGGGGGCTATTGGGTGTCAAGTTGATGTGTGTAAATGCGATAACTGGACGAAAAAGATTATGTATTTATAGACGAATTAGTAAGATTGAGTTTATTTTTATTTATTTCTCATGAAACACTGCGTAGTCCGCAACCAACTAACAACTGTATTTCTAATAGGATAACATGACAGTACCTACATACGATTACTATAATATACACATACGTGACGCTAGTGGTTTCAGATGACTGGTGCTGAACATATTATGTATAATTATTATTTCTTTACTAATTTACTTTATTTTACTCAGTTCATAAAACCCAAGTTTAATATGCTAAGGCTAACACAGAATCCAAGAGAATAACAAATGAACTTCAAATCAAATTGTAACATATTTTCAACAGCATATTACGCAAAAGAAAATCTACATCTATATTATAGTTACATTAAAATACAATCTACCAACAGGGCAGCTGAAATAATAACATCACAAGCCACGTCATCAGGCGCGGTGTCACAGATGATGTCTCTACAACTCCGCGACCGAGTGGAGCAGGCACGGCGCGCTCTGTCTCTGTTCCAACATCACGATGGCGTCACGGGCACCTCCAGAGACGAAGTACGGGAGGACTATGCTAAGAAGTGAGTATTTTTAATAATATGTCCCTATTGTCCCAATACTCGAAACGCCATTAAATTTCGAAGTCGCGCTTAAGTATAGTGCTATCACTACAATTTCTTTATAAAATGACAGAGATGGCACGATATATAAGTAGAACTAAAATTGAGTAGCCTTTCAGTATTCGGGCGTGTATAATGGACGGGGGAAGGAGGAGGTCAAGCTAAATAATAGACTGAAGTCCCGACATTAGTAACGATGAAGTTCTGTCGCTAAGTCGTGAATTTCTTGATTTTAAACCTTATACGTTTTGCAATAAAGTTGTAAATTGTAAATATTCTGCTGGAATTTTAACTTGACCCATTTTTTATGGGTAGATTGTGAAATTCTATGTCTAGGAGCCTAATTCAGCGGCAAAGCTTATTGAGCTTGTAGATAAAATTAAAAAACAATACAATTTATTTACAGAATGTTAACAGCAATAAAATACTCGCAGTCAGCGATACAACAAGCTGCCTACTACCTCTTAAACCAGCCGCTAATAGTGGACCAAGCACAGGACGACATATACTTCGACGTGGACGACATCTGGCGGATACATGATGAGATACCGTCGCGTATCACTATAGCCTTGGATGTGGTATCTCCTTCCAGAAGAATTGTACTATACAATGCTCTCGCATTCAAGAGACACGAGATATTTACTGTTCTTGTGTCTTCACCGCATGTTGAGGTAAGATTCTTCTATAACTTAACATAACTTCACGTCTTTTATTCCCCAGGGGGTAAGGGGGTAAAAGGTGCACTTAATGCCACAGTACAATGTATAATCTATATCGACTTTGCACCAAGTTATAAGACTCATGTAGGGAGTGACCCTGCACTATAAAATATCGGATACAATTCGTAGGGTATCCGAAAAAACTGAACTAATAATACTTTTCCCGAGCCAGGAATCGAAGCCGAAACCTCTTGATCGGCACTCGCACTTGATCGACTTGTATTTTTGCATTGGTAGTTTGGTGAAACAAGAAAAAGATTCACCAGAGAGTAAGAGTTTCTTTTACTTTTAACTTGATCGAAATGAGACCGCCTGACGCTTTCTGATTTGCCGGCTCTAATGAACCAACCAATTGAAGCGCTAAGCACGATAACATTTTAATCTCGTGAACCGTAAAACACTCATACTAAGCCCTCCAATAATATGCAAACAATACAAATGTGTTTCATATTTAATTTGTAGGTGTTCGACCCCGAAGGCAACCCAATGATGGCTCAGATATCCCCAGTAGTGGCTGGGGATAAGAGACTAGCGTTTGCCGCCAACAAGTACCAACTCTCCTTCCCGGTCACTCTGGACCCGCTCGCACTCACCGTGTACACTGTCTCACTTAGAGACAGCACTCGGCTTAACAAGTAAGTCTATATGATTTTGATCCTTTTGTAGTTGTCATAACGACTAGAATTGCCTTACCAAAATTCCAAGGGCCATGATTATGAAAATATCGTTTGTTTGTTTCATAATAATTACATTAATCGTACAATTTATAGTTGGATTTGTAATACTGTCAATTATCGTAAGGAGTACATAATATCTAAATTGATACTGCCTGTAACATTTTCCAACAAGTACTTTACTTCAATTCGATATCAAAATAAATACTCATCTTTGTACAATAACTACCATATGAAGCTTAACTCGTCGAGTACCGTCATTATAGACACAATTATAGAACAATAGGTTGCGGTCACCGGTGACCGCTTGGTGTTTGACAGTTTAATGATTATGAATCCCGGTATAGCTCGAAAATAGTCGAGCATTGAACTAAGTTACATGAGCAAGCTGTAAATGAGTTTTTATTATTATTTAATTTCAGATACACGTCATACTCCCACGTGCGTGTATACAACGCGGACTACTGGACGGTGGACCTTCCCAAGATGTTCCCTATAGAACAGCCGGCCGCCCGACTGATGGAAGACATCACGGTGCAGGCGGGGAACAGTACTCGAGTCGTCGCCACTATGGACGGACTTATAAAGGCTATTGTATCACCTCAGGGTGCTACCATGCCCGTTCATATGGATTTTTCACAGTAAGTAAAATATAAAATATATCTAGATTGGTTGTGATCAATGACTGGGGGTTTTTTTTACTGTCAATAAGTGTAATATAGACTTAAGTTTTCTTTTATATTATTACGCCTTAAGCTAGTTAATCTGATAGTGATGTGAGTGACCTAAGTCTGACCAAAGAATCGTACTCAATGTTTAAAATTGTTTTTAAATAAATATACTGGATTCTTGGATTTCATACTACTACTTTACTACTCAACACGACTGTGTGACTTGATCAAGAGACCACTGACAAACGGTGAAGGAAAACATCGTAATCAAACCTGGGCTTATTAGAAATTATAAGTCTAGGTTTCCTCACGATGTTTTTCCTTACCATTTGTGAGTGGTGTCTAAAAATCTTAGAAAGTATAAACATATGCTTCGGAAAAAGTCAAATTGGTACTTGGCGTTGGTAGGTTTGGAATCCACACCCTCATGCATGAGAAGCGGGCGTCTTAAACCTGCGAGCAACCACGACATCATGCTTATCTGCTCAGCAGTGGGCATTTATAGGCTATTGATGATGATGATGACAATACTAAACCAATCACATATAACTTCAGGTACGACAGTCAACGCGGTAAAGACAACAACAGTGGCGCGTACCTGTTCATACCCACCGGGCCCGCCACCGACTACAAGGCGTCCGCCTTCCCTGAGATAGTGGTCACTGAAGGTATCTACAAGGCCACCATGTACGCTGCACTCAACTCGCCTAAAGCTGCTGATATTGTCCTAGCAGTAAGTATTGAACTTTATTACTAGTTGTGTAGAGTTTAATTTTGGATTACGACTGCACCGGCTACAGATATTATTCTAGCCATGAGTATATTGTTGGAAAATGAACTTTGTTTGCTGGTGCATAAGGTTTAATTTAGGATGTCATTGTGTATACCATTATCTAAGATTACAGTTGTATTTCAATGTTGTAAATACACGTAAACATAGTATAGTATATATAGGCGTCCGACATTCTTCATCGGATCAGAGTGCTTACTCTTGAAACCAATCTCAATGACAATGCAATTTCAAACGAATAAAATCTCAATAATTATTCAATGTCACAACTATACAACCCCCTATCGTAGCTGTTAAAGTAACTTTCAGAGTAAAGAATATAGAGCCAAACTCGATACCATTTAGTTCATTAAATATCCACGCAATACGTTTGCAATGGTCGCTAGTGTTGCAACTAAAGTGTACGGAATTTCATATTATCAATGTCGATCGATCGGAATTGGATATAAGAGTAAGCTACCCAAGTCTAACTGTAAAAAATGATTTTGATTTTAATGTGAAAACAGATACATTGTACATTATATTTGACCCGATATCTTACGGATGTCTGACACCGATATGAAATCGGATAGAATAATATAGGAAACCCTTTATAATAATAATCTTTCTTAATTTATTAATAGGTATCAGTATACAACAACCCGTCATTGCCTCACAGCGAGGTAGAGATCTGCAACACGTTCATGATAGACCCGCAGGTCGATGACCTCGAGATCGCACTCCGGTTGCGGACCGCCGTCAAGAACGGAGACGTCTTCTATACTGACCTTAATGGGATGCAGGTGAGATGTTGGATATTTAGTTATTTCTTGAAACGCAATTGAAATTTAAAAATTTTATTGCTTAATGTAAGTGTTGATGATTGCTCCCAAAATTAAAAAAAAATATAAATTACAAAATATAATATCATTTTTTTAATTTTTAAAGTTACTGAGAAATAACTGAGGCCTTGAGAATGAATTTCGTAAAAGTAATCGCAACGAGACCGCGTTCGGCGCTCTAATTGGCTGGTTAATTGGAGCTGGCCAATCAGAGCGCTGAACTCGGTCTCGTTTCGATCTCTTTAAGCGTAAACGAAACTTGTATTAAGCCGTCTGATAACTCTCGGAACTAGATTATTCATTGTAAGATTCTCAACTATTATGATGAAATTTAATATTTAATATATCCTATTGTAGATGATAAAACGTCGATACTTCGAGAAGCTGCCCCTCCAGGCGAACTTCTACCCTCTTTCGGCTGCCACATACATAGAGGACGGCAAGAACAGGCTCACTGTCCTCACGTCCACACCGCTTGGTATGGCCGCGCTACAACCGGGGCAGATTGAGGTATATAATTACTGATATTGTATATAGTGCCTAATTTAATTGTTTATATAGTCAAGGATATATTGTGTTTTGAGCATACACAGTGGTTGATGCGCAGTTTTGCAAGGAGTTGTACCAAGACTGCTTCGTTGGCCGAGTGGTCGCAAGTGCGACTGCCGGGCAAGGGGTCTCGGGTTCGATTCCCGGGTCGGGCAAAGTATTACTGGGTTTTTTTAAATTCTCAGTAGTAGCACGAAGTCTGGAATTGTGCCCGGTATATGGCAATAGGCTCACCCCTTATTACATGAAACTCATGACGTAAATTGTGAAAAGTGGGTGTTACATTGTACAGTGTCATAATGTACACCTGCCTACCCCTTCGGGGATAAGTCGTGATGTTATGTTCTTGAAACTAAAAAAAATATGATATACATACCAAATCGAGACATACATTGTATGTTTGAATGTTTGTGCACAATTATCTCGCGATTGGCTAAACCGATTTTAATGTGGTTTTCACAAAAGTGTTTGTTTCATTTTAGAAGGTTTACTATATTGAATAAGCGTCTTCAAAAGAAGAGGGGTTTGAAGTCGGTTTTTAAACGTAATTTATTAAGGAATTATATGAAAATAAGTTTCATAAAAGCAACCTCTCCTAGTTACTTTAGTCTAGTTTTAGCCAGTTTTATATTCACGAATAAGGTTAATTTTTTTTGTCATTGTACCCTTCATTACAGATAATGCAAGACAGAAGACTGAGTCGGGACGACAACCGAGGACTGGTACAGGGCGTGCTCGACAATGTCAGGACGAGGCACACGTTCAAGATTATTGTCGAAGACGCCAAGAAGTATTGCAGTGTAAGTATACAAGTGTTATCAATTATTCACAGTACAGTGTTAAAATTATTTTTTGTTAGTAGTTAGAAAGGTAAATATGTACCCGTGGAACTTATTTCTAAATATTACAAATGATGACTGATTTTGATCGCATGGTCCTGTATCGTAGATCATACATATGTTTACATTGGCGTTAAGCCACCAATATTGTAAGGTTAAACCAAATTTTGATGTCGCGGAGAACCTAACGGGTAACCGGGGCTCCGACTCGACGTGCAGGAGAAGGAACGGGGTGGTTTTTAGTCAGTAAGAGTCTGACACTCCCTCCCGCCTCACCCAGGCGGGAGCAGTCATTCGATGACTTTCCCCCTTTAAAAAAAAATTTTGATGAAGTAGACAACGGTGCAACCATCTATTGTGGTATTGTTTTGAAAATCATCTAATGACTACTCCCGCCCGGGTGAGGCAGGAGGGAGTGTCAGACTCTTACTGACTAAGAACCACCCCGTTCCTACTCCTGCTCTTCGAGCCGGCGCCCCGGCAAACCGTTAAGTCTTCCGCGGCTTCGTATCATCATCAGCCCTGTTGGGCCCCATCCGTGGTGGTCTGATGGCTCCTGAACGCTCGGCGCCGTACGCTCGGGCCTGGTTCTGGTCGTCCGCAGGCCCGTGCTTACGGTGGCCGGAGATCGTCTCGCGATCCCCGACGCCCGGAGTGTCTCTCGCGACGGCCGGCTGTTCCCTCACGCGCTCCGCCTCCTGCCGCTGGTCTTGGCTTTGGACACTATCTCGCCTATTGTCATACATGAGGCACAATCGTTTTGCCCGACTAAAATATGAATATACTCTAGACTTTTTACATATAAAAACTATCGCGAGTCGCGATAGTTTTTATATGTAAAAAAAAAATCGCGGGTAACTCACATGAAAGTACTGAGAAAAGCTCTACTAGTTTCGAACCACAGAGGGGTTCTTCCTCATGAGCAGCATGCGACCACGATTTTTAGTTAATACTCAAGACTTCAATCACCAATCTCTAATACCCACAGGAGCAAACAACGGATCTACCATCAGGTCAGCTTACACTGGGCGCGCACGTGTCGCAGCAGTTCTTGCTTCAGCCAATCATCGCCATGCACTACACGGCCAAGAAGGATGGACCCCGCATCGCGTACTCTCGCGTCACTGTCAATGATGCAGACATTGTACTCGCCTCCTACCACTCACATGTCACTGCTAAGGTGAGTCTTATTTTTAAGATATGTGGTTGATAATCCTTTGGCTGTTTGAGGTGATATTAAAAGCTAGGGATTTCGAGCGTATGCGTGCTTTGATTTGAATGTTGTAACAACAGAAGTTCGATCATTGTAACAATTAACTACTTGTACAGGTCCGACCACTGTTTAGTCGAATTAAATATTCAAATTGAAATGGAATGCTCAAATGAACAAAAACCTTTTTCTAATACGTCATCTCATAATCATATTTTCTGTTTAAATAGTCGACAGTTGTGCGATGGCTTGGTAACTGGCTGCTGCGCAACGTGTTGCGGGTTCGATTCCCGCACGGAGCAACTCTTTGTGTGATCCACACATATTGTTGTTCCGGGTCTGGGTGTCACGTGTATGGAAACGCACCCACGACACAGGAGAAAATCCTAGTGTGGGGTAACGATTGAAAAAAGAAAAAACTCCAATGATGTACGCATTTATTGTATAAACAGATATTATTTTGTACCGGTACGTGTTTTGTTCTTTATTGAGGATCGTAATAGTTTATGAACGGTAATTATGTTTGGTGTTAGAACAAAGATGGCAGCGTGGTCCACGGCATGGGCATGACGTTGCAGCGCGTGCTACTGGACACGTGCTACGGCAGCCCCGACATACACAAACATTACCGCGCCGGGGACGGACAGGTGGGTTCCATACTATCATTGGATTCATTTTATTTTTAGTGAATGCCGAGTGGTCGCCAAGTGCGACTTGCCAAGGGCTCTCGGGTTCGATTCCTCGATCCGGCAAAGTACTACTGGTTTTTTTGTAATACTTAGTTACTACTAAGTATTCAAGCTACTAAGTATTAAGCACGGAGTCATAAATAGTGCTCGGTACATGGCAATATGCTCACCCCTTATCACATGGGACTCGCATAACATAAATAGTGAAAAGTGGGTGTTACATTGTACAGTGGAATTAAATGCCGCAATGTGCACCTCTGCCTATACCTATGGGAATAAAAGGCGTGTTATTATGTTAAAAGTCCAACAAGCTGCATAGTAGTAGCTGACTAATCAATACTATGCTCATTCTGACCATGTTTTATTAGTGAATAATCTTATGAACTATTTCTATTGCAGGTGTCAATATCGGACTTGATAGACGGCCCCGCAGACAAAGTATACGACAGCTCTCTAACGTACGTCACGGTACGGACCCCGCTACCCAGCGGAGTGCTGACCCTCTGTCCAATGGAAATCAGGTCCGTGTTCATCAACCAAACACTTAAAAAGTACTAAAAAACTATCATTTTAGAGCATAACCTTGAAATATTCAGACTATACGACAAGCTATAATTAACCAGTATAAACTGAACGTTGTATACGAGGAGAGTTCATAGAAAGCGAGATCATTGATAAACTGGTTTTTTATAACTTAAAATGTAGCCGTGAAAGAAAATTACGCAATTGTTGAGTGTGTAACTATCTAGAGAGGCGAGTTTGTTTTACTTTATAAGTAATCGAAACGAGACTGCCTTCGGAGCTCCGATTGGTTAGTTCATTGGCGCCGGCCAATCACAGCGCCGAACGCGTACTCTTTCCGATTACTATAAACGTGAAAGAAACTTGTACTGAGGCCTCAGACAAACGAACTTAAATTATATTTACATAGACATGCTTTTAGATACATCAAAGTATGCATTGTACTGTGCAAAATGGTAAATCTTTTTTGCTTTTGAATAATAGACTCTATTTTCATTGGTTTATAGCACAATGTTGTATGTACTGTAATTTTGGATCGTTGTTTGTTTTATTAGTCATGACGTTGATTTTGAACTTTAAAACCGTGGAAATGAAGTTGTTTTTGGTCTGCAATATTTAATGGAGTTTTTTTAATTGACAGTAATTGTTTTAAGTTGTATATTTCGTTAGCATGAATGATTGGAAAAGGTTATAGTTGAAGAGTGCACATGTATGTGTGGGGAGGTAGCTAGGAATTAAAAAAAGTAAAAAAAAAAATTTTTAGGGTCTGTTGAACTACTGCCAAATGAGTTTCTATTCCCTAACTGACATATGGAATGGTCAGTCCTCTATCAAATTGCTTTATAAGATTTTGAACCTTATTGTTTTGATATAAAGTCGAAAATCAATTTGGACTAGGTTAATCTGGTGGTAGTTAGACTGATGAAAACTTAAACAGAAATAGAAACAGTCTTATTCTTGCATTTTTCTAAGAAGTGACGTCAAAATAAACGTTTTTTTTTTGTTTTCAGTCACTGTTTAAAAACGAATGATCAATTTTCAAACTTATTCCTTTGAGTATAGAAATGAAAATAGCATTAAAAACATGTGTAATAATATTAAAGAAATGTGAAATTATATTCAATCAAACTTGAAGCTTATATCCAAAGGCAATAAGGTTGGGAATTCAACTGTTAATTTTTACTATTTTAGAGCTTGAACGCAGAAATTTCGCGTAGATTTAGAAGTTAGTACGATTTGACTGATGTAGCACTTTTTATGATGATGAATGCATTATTAAAATTTGTCTAAAATTGATTGGTGATGTCAACCAATCAGAGAATTACTGAAATTTCGACTGAGGCAGATATAACCTGTATGATATTAGACAAAGTACAGTTCCACAGGTTAAAAAAAATAATTGACAGATAACATAATCCGAGTTCTTATTAGCTTTATTTGTCAAGGCTTAAGAATAATAATAAAAATGTTTTACGGCACAAAATTCGTTGTTTAAATTAATTTAAATTATAAAAGAAACACAATTAAATTATTAAGGAATTATACTTGTTTTACATTATTTTAGTTATTGTAATCGAATAATTATTCGGGATGTTAAAATTCTTATTTTTATTACAATATCGAGACAATGGAATATTATTATGTATTTATTTTTATTATTTGATCATATTTGGTTGTGTGGTGCTATACCATATTATATTGCCATGAAATTGTTTACCACTTAAATATTAATTGTTAATTTATGTAATAAAAATTTAGCATAATTTTATTATATTTAAATAAATAATTTTTAAATTACTTATGTTACAAAATCTCCACTATTATTGACTTGGTCAATCATTTTAGGTTTTAAGTTTTAGAACATAACGTAATGTGTATTTTATTTTTAATTACGTATTTTAGTGTTAATTTAATATTACTTTATTGACAAAAATATTATCTTAGCTAAATAATTTCAAATTCAATTCTCTCTAAAGTAAACATTATTATTTATGACATTTAAATAAATTACCAAATTATAGCATTATATCTTGGCTTGCAAAAAATATATCTGAATTTATTTTATACGAAATGTGCCAAGATTTAAAACTCTAAGGCAATGTGCAATTACAATTTATTCACATAAATTAATACTCCCAATTTTTCCATTGAATAATTAAATATATCTACACAATATGGTTGCTATAGGTCATCATCCTTAGTCAAGTTGACTATCGTAATGTAATGTCATAGAAATGAAGTACATCTGCAATAATAATAAGGCAGTGGCGTAATTACAAGTTAGCCCCGAAGTGGCCAGGAGTGGCCCCAATTCAAAGATTCTCATGTGAACTATACTTTTTTATATGGGAATAGGGTTTTATCCAGTGAATTTGCCACGGGCTCCGAGCGGTATAGTAACACCGCTGATCAGTGGCATCACAAATGTGTGTGTGCGTCATCATTTCCAGGGACACACACATTTATTTAGTTTTTTCTATCTGCCATTATAAATAACCTAATATTATATTTAGATTTGCTAACTAGACATTTGAAATAAACTCAATAAGTCATTCTACAAATAGAATAATTTAACTAAAAATCGCGGGTTACTCACGTGAATATACTGAGAAAAGCTCTACTAGTGTCGCGGTCACGGCGATGTCGCGCAGCCTACTGTGACCGCCGCGACCGCGCACGCTGCTCATGAGGAAGATCCCCTCTATGGTTCGAAACTAGTAGAGCTTTTCTCAGTATATTCACGTGAGTAACCTGCGAATTTTAGTTAATTTAGTAAGTCTCACGATAGTTATTATAAAAACAAATAGACTAATATCGAAATACTCAAACGCTGTGCAATTTAAAGGTGCGCTATGTATAGTTCCGTCGCTACAAATTACTTTACAATGACAGAGATGGCACGATATTCAATTACAACTTAAATTGCTACTTAATTTCTTTCCATATTCGGGCATAAGTAGGTCTCAATGACAAACCATATACATAGTTAAGATAGTCAACTTGTCTAAGGCAACAAATATTCTAGTTTTTAAGATTTTTGTATATATATATATAATTTGCACGTTAATACTTAAAGTTATTAGAAGTTTAGTCACTTAATGTTGATGTATATTTAATTGCAATGCATTATATTATAATATGATAAAGTAGTGAGTACGATTATTCCGTCGATTCGATATTAATATCGTTAATATGTATTTTTTCTTCTATAAAATGTTCTTGGGATAGTCGCAGCACAAATTGTATTGTGTGAATGGCACTTAGTGTGTTCGCGTTAAAAATGCAGTGAGTTATCAATGCAACTGTAAGATAAAGGTGTATTCACAGTGATGTGAAATTCAGACAAATTATATTTTAAAGGATTAAGTTTGATGAATTTATTAAAATACACTTAAAGGTTTAAAATCAGTCTAGGCATTCTTAATGCAAATGTACTATAGAATGAACGATTGTATTGTATGACTTTTTTTTATTTTGGCAGCGTTTGACGATCTACATATTCAAGGGGTGAAATGAAATGAAATGGTATTTATTTCTGGAAATAGATTACAGTTTTGCACGTCAATCTTTAAATTAATAGACGAGGGCCGTTGTGATGAGGTGTTTAGGGAAATTTGTATTGATTATACTATTACTAGCTTTTACCCGCGGATTCGCTCGCGTCACAAAAGGATAAAAAGTAGCCTACGTGACATATACACTCAGCGCCATCTATACCAATGATTTGGTTTTTCCTCGAGAATTTCAAATTTTTCCGGGATAAAAAGTACCTACCCTATTATTTAATTCAGACTTCTAACTTTACGTCTGCAAAATTGAAAACAATCGGTTTAGTAGTTACGGCGTAAAAGCGGAACAAACAAACAGACAAACAAACTAGTAAGGATAGTTATTGACTCGAAAACTAGTTGCTAGAATTGCATAAAGGAAATAATGGTAATATTATTTCAATAAACAAACTTTCTTAAAGGCGTGGTTAAGAATATTACTTCAACTAAACTCTAGTTTGCAAGTTGTTAGCTTAAATGTGAAACATAATTATATGATTCAGTTTTCGAAGTCTTACCGTTTGCAACAACGTAACCTCTCTTTTAAGAAAGCTATTTGAAGACATTTTTGTTCTTACGAACCTATAAATCTCCCGATCGATTTCAATCATGGTGGCCAGTCGAACTAGACTATCCCATTACGCAGGGCAGGACGTATTATAGTGCACAAGTTAGTGTGTGTGCAAACACAAGTGAAGTGCACTCACTGTTGCCTCACTCTCTGAACTTGATGGACAGACTGACACGACCGGAGATAGATTAGGCTCGGGACCAACGGCTTTACGTGTTTTCCGACGCGCTGGGGTGAAACACCGCCGAACTTGCTAAGGCAGTATAGTAATGGTAACTTTATTCAGAAAATTCTATTATCACTTTTTGGCCGATGTGGTCGGTCACCAGACCACTGCGCCAAACGTGCAGTCACCAACCAATAAGTGACACCTAAGAGTACAAGTAAGGGATTTAGGTGCTACGTTACGCGAAGTAACTTTTAGTTAAGACATGGCTTAGGTCTGATTGGCATAAACTGCCATTAGTCACTCTAATGAACATGTAGATCATTAAATGTTGCTACATACTGCCTTATGCAGTCACAGAATACCTTGTTCAATATATTACTGTAGTTCCTTTAAAAACCCACGTCCAAGATTTTATTTTTGATAATCACTCTTGTTCCGTGCATTTCCTATGATAGTAAACTGACAACATAATTAAATTGCATTTCCTTTATGTTGTCTAAATGCAAAACGCGTAGAGATCTCAATATTTAAAACAATATTATTATATTGAAGTATGTAACAATTTTCTTAAAACGACATTTACGCTAAATTAACTAAAATCGCGGGTTACTCACGTGAATATACTTACCGGTTCTTCCTCATGAGCAGCGTGAGCGGTCGCGGAGATGTCGTGCAGCTCACTGATCATGAGGAAGAACTCCTCTGTGGTTCGAAACTAGTAAAGCTTTTCTCAGTATATTCACGTGAGTAACCCGCGATTTTAGTTAATTTAGTATGTTTTTTTTATTTTTTTTTTTTTAAACAAACGTTGCCCCACACGATAGTTGTCATAAAAGACTTGTACGCTACTACATAATTTAATATATTGTATGTATTGATGAATTTTCTTTGAATGAATTATTATCTATGTAAAATATTAGTGAGATTTGTATTATACCTGTTTTATCGTGCATTTAATTGTATTTTGAACTAATATTGTAAATATAGAAGATCGTGTTGAAAATTATTTGCTGTTTTAATTTCTATCTACCTTTGTTTACGATTTGAATTCATTTCGGTGGCGGAGTGGTCGCAAGTGCGACGGCTGGGCAAGGGGTCTCGGGTTCAATTCCCGGGTCGGACATAGTTGTACAGGGTTTTTAAAAAAAATCTCAGCGGCATTAAGCCTGGGATTGTGCCTGGTATATGGCAATAGATTCACCCCTATTACATGGGATTTATAACATAAATAGTGAAAAGTGGGTGTTACTTTGTACAGTGGCACTAAGTGCCGTAGTGTGCACCTCTGTCTGCCCCTTCGGAGATAAAAAGCGTGATGTGATGTTATGTTGATGACGCTTTCCCCATAGCAGATAGCATAAATACGCACTTTGTTTAATTATAACTATTTATTCTTTTTACCGGGGCGTTTCGTTACGGCATCAATGATGTCGTTTTATATTTACTTCACTTGCCTGACAACCTTTGTACTAACTTCATTCTAATGTTACAAATGATTTCGCAAGTTATTTGGAGTTTATTTTTATTGGCACCATTTAATCCTCTAAAGTTGTAACAACCTTTTTAAATGACCTATCCAGGTCCCAGTTATTACTAAGACCTATTTTAGTATTTACATAACTACCATTCAAGTTTTACGTTATACTTTTTTATATTTAATGGGCCGACGTTTGACTACTATCTCGACTGGTGGTAAGCGACGATGCGGTCTACGATGGAGCACGATACTATTAGGCAAGGGATAACCTTTACGACTGATTCTATCCATAGTCTCTGCCTACCCCCATGGGAGACCGGCGTGAGGTTTTTTCAAGCCCGTCACAACCACCCAAAACCACCAACTGCCGCCAACAGCAACTCCTGTAAGCCAGGATCTACAGTAGGTACAACCATGAAAACACCGGAACACTGAAGTCCGGCGCGTCCCAGGGACATGAATAACTGTCTTGGTTCCCGCAACGAAGTGAATCAGAAGACATAAGAGGAGAAAAAAACGATAGTTTTCACTTCCCTCGGTGAATTACTGCAGGAGACAGTGAATTGAGCCTAAAGGCACAAAGAAAAGATACTGTACAACTGCGCGAAGCCCAGTCGCCAAGCACCACGGAAATTTGACTAAAATATAAGTAGGTCCTATGTGAAAGGCCCGCGCTTACGGTGGCCGGAGATCGTCCCTCGATCCCCGACGCCCGGAGTGTCCTTCGCGATGACTGGGTTGCGAGGAGGCAGCGCTTCGCTGACTCACGCGTCCCGCCTCTTCCTTAGCTAGCATCGCGTCAGCGCATAGAAGTTATTTTTGGCTTTCTCACTAATTGCCGTAATATGTTCAATGAAAG